CCATGATGGCATACCATTTGCAAAAGTATACAACCCAATGTATTGCAAGTGGGGTATGTCCAGTCTTTCTTAGTAGCCACTTAGTCACAAACACTGGCCAAATATTAGTTTTTTGCTTTTTTCACACAACAACAAATATGAACGCTAACCTTGGCTAGTGTTTGTGACTAAGTGGCTACTAAAAAAGGCTAAACATACCCCACTTTCAATACCTTGGGTTGTCTACTTTTTCAAATGGTATGCCATTATGGGGGTAATTCTCATTCCTGGGCTACCACACCGTCTCAAAGGTAACATTACTAATCTGGCAAATTTCAATCTGAAAATGGAACGCTCTATATTTGACCCTGTAACTTTTCAAAACACCATAAAACCTGTTAATGGGGGGTACTGTTGTACTCGTGAGACATCACTGATTACAAGTATGTGCATTTTTGTGCAGTAAAACCTAACAGTATTGACATTCACAGCTAAAATGTCAGACGGAGATACAAATTAAAAAAAATAAAAATCTTATTTTCTCACAATTTTAAAATTGTATTCATAATAAATTATGTTCCATATATGAATAGTTAATAATAAATTAAAGCCCTGTTTCTCCTGAACAAAATGATATATAATAAGTGTGGGTGCACTTAATGTGACAGTGGTGAATTACGGTTGAACAGACATATAGCGCAAATTCCAGTTTTTGTTTACTTTTGTTTTGATCAGAACGTGCACTATTGACTCCATCGTGAAGGGGTTAAAAGGGTTATCAGTCTGCCGCCCATATACTCCATGTTACACATCTACTTGGGATCTACTTGGGATGTGGACCTCCTATTAAATTTCCTTAATTCTTTGGATAATGCTAAAATTGTTTTAAGATGGACTGCTATTAAGTTGGCTTCTCTGTCTTTGGCCTTGGCAGCTAGAAGAGCTGACAACTCAAATCTATATTTCAGAACCATGGTTGTCCTGGACCCCGGGAGGGTTACATATTATACCAAAAGGGAGACAAAAAACATCCTATATTTCCACAGGTCCGGTGTAATTGGTTTTGGTTCAAGATCCTTCTGAACCAGGCATATGTTTAGTCAGTCTGTTACAATCCTACCTTGACCTTTCTGCTGCATTTAGAAATGATATCAGTCAATTTTTTATAACATCAAGGAATCACTTTTGTCCAGCCAAGATTAATGCACTTAGCGGTTGGATATTTTCTGCCATGTCTTTGGCTGGTATTGATGTTTCTTTGTTCAAAGGCCACTCAATTAGGGGCGCCTCGGCTACTAAAGCAGCATCAAAAGGCTTTCCCCTCCCTATTTTCTTGAAAACTGCAAGGTGGTTGTCCAGTAAAACCGTTGTTAGATTTTACTGGAGGTGAACGCCTTCAGTTTCTTAGGACCACCACCAGGTGTGTGCTATTCTACCCACTAGCTTTACTGGGTGGTTATGCCTCCCGGAGGACAAATCAGAGTTTGCAGGAATCTATGATCTGCAAACTTTCTTTGTCTTAGGGATGAGCATAACTACCTAGCAAGAGCTCCTCTAGTGTAAGGGTTTTGCAAGCTGGTGGTAGTTTGTTTTTCTTTACATAAGGTTATCTTGTGGTTATTCAGCCTATTTCTAACTGCTTTCTGTTTTTTACAGACTATAACCATACTCCAAGACAAGACCAACAAACCAAGGATCCACCTAAGTAGGACGATTGGATGCTAGTAGTATCTGCAATATGAAATTCTCATGGGCTCCTTGCATAAAGAATCTGCTTTCAGAGACTTGTTACAAGTTTTATTTTTCCAGAAATTGTCTGTTTGATACGTTCTTAAGCTTATACATTGTTGCCTTGTTATCTGTTTAGCTGTGTGCATTATACAAAAGTTTTCAAGTCCATCTCATATGTCTTCACTAGAGATGAGCAAACCCGAACTATAAAGTTCGGGTTCATACCGAACATTACGATTTTTTGACCCCGAACCCGGTCATTTCAGTAACAGTTTGGGTTCGAGTTCGGTGTTCGGCAATTTAATGGTGCGTTTTGAAAAGCTGCAGGGCAGTACCCTGCCCTGAGCCCAGTGCCAGAGAGAAATAAGCAATCAGTCTGTTTGTTAGGTGGGCACTTGCAACTGCACGTGTGCCAGGCACATTACTTTATTCCTATTCTGGTAGCTCAGTGGGCAACATCTAGGCATTTTTAAATACTGCTGTGACACTGCAGTTTGACAAATTCACATTTTTTTGGTGCTAAAAAGTAAATTTGTGCGTGCACTTCATATCTGAAAGTCAAATAGAACTATCAAATACTGTGGTTACATCGCAGTTTCAAAAATTCTTATTGTTTTGGTGCTAAATAGTACATTTGCTGCCTGCGGTGCACTTCATATCTGAGAGTAAAATAGAACCATCAAATACTGTGGTTACATCGCACTTTGAAAAATTCACATTTCTTTGGTGCTAAGAAGTACATTTGTGGCGTGCACATCATATCTGAGAGTCAAATAGAACCGTCAAATACTGCTGTGACATTGCAGTTTGACTAATTCACATTTTTTTGGTGCTAAAAAGTACATTTGTGGCGTGCACTTCATTTCGGAGAGTCAAATAGAACCGTTAAATACTGTGGTTACATCGCACTTTGAAAAATTCAAATTTTAAACCATCTGTTAGTTTGGTGGGTGAACACAAAGAATGAGGAGAGCGTCAAATAAGGGACGTGGCCCTGGTCATGGTGCTGTTGGTGGAGCTCCTGTTGCAGGGAGAGGATGTGGTCGATCTTTGCCAGCTACACGCACAAATGAAACACCTTTCTCAGGTGCGAGTAGGCGACAGAACCTTCAGCGTTATTTGGTAGGCCCGAATGCCGCTCTATAAATAGTGAGGCCAGAACAAGTACAGGCGATAGTAGATTGGATGGCTGACTGTGCCTCCAGTTCCTTCACATTGACTTCCACCCAGTCCCTTGCTGAAAACTCAGAGTTGGCACCTGCAGCCCATGGCCATCTGTCTTTCACCTCAGTCCCTTGCAAATTAGCCAAGCAGTCTGAGCCACAAGTCATGCAGCAGTCTCTTATGCTTTTTGATGACTCTGCTGGCGGGATTTCGATGTACCATCCACCTAGCCCTGCCCCAGAAGTGGAAGAGATTGAGTGTACTGATGCACATCCACTTATGTGTCATGATGTGGACATGCGAGGACCACCTGATGATGACGAAACACAGGTGCCAATTGCTGTGGCTTTCGGCAGTGTGCAGACCGGCAAGGAGGGCAGGGTTGAGGAGTGGGTGAAAGATGATGTGGAGGATGATGAGGTCCTAGACCCCACATGGAATCAAGGTCATGCGAGTGAAGTGTGCAGTTTGGAGGAAGAGGCGGTGGTCGCACAGAGGCACCAGCACAGCATGAAAGGGAACAGGGTGCAAAAGCGGAGCGGCCGTACCCTAGACAGTACGCCTGTTACTGCCCACCGCACCCAGGGACCGAGTACACCAAAGCCAGCTCCAAGGAGTTCCCTGGCGTGACAGTTCTTCAGACAAGTGGTTTGCACGCTGTGCAATCAGAGCCTGAAGCGAGGCATAAACATTCTAAACCTGAGCACAACCTGCATGACCAGGCATCTATATGCAAAGCACGAGCAGTGGAGTAAACATAGAAACATAGAAACATAGAATGTGACGGCAGATAAGAACCATTCGGCCCATCTAGTCTGCCCAATTTTCTAAATACTTTCATTAGTCCCTAGTCTTATCTTATAGTTAGGATAGCCTTATGCCTATCCCACGCATGCTAAAACTCCTTTACTGTGTAAGCACCTCAAAAACCAAGAAAGGTCTCCGGCTCTTCCTGCTTCCTCTTCTGCTGCTGTCTCGGCCTCTTCCTCCACCTCCGGATTGACAATGGCAGCAACGCCGCTACGTCCGCCACCGTCACCAAGCATCTCCACACTGTCCCATGGAAGCGTTCAGCTGTCCATCTCCCAAACACTGGAGAGAAAGAGGAAATACCCCCTTACCCACCTGCGATCCCTGGCCCTGAATGCCAGCATTTCAAAATTCCTGGCCTTTGAAATGCTGTCATTCCGTCTGGTGGAGATGGACAGTTTTAAAAACCTGATGGCGGCTGTCCCACAGTACGTGGTTCCCAGCCGCCACTACTTTTCCAGGTGAGCCATCCCTTCCCTGCACAACCAATTGGCGGACAAAATCAGGTGTGCACTGCGCAATGCTATCTGTGGCAAGGTCCACATAACCACTGATACGTGGACCAGTAAGCACGGGCAGGGACGCTATATCTCCTGAGGAGGATAGCAGGTTGGCGCATGTCCTTCCGCCACCGAGGATTGCAGGGCATTTCTTTTTGCCTCTGATTGCCTTCGCCTCCTCCTCCTCCTCCTCCTCCGCTTCCTCCTCCTCCTCTACCACATCCTCATCCAGTCAGCGTAACACCTTCACCACCAACTTCAGCACAGCCAGAGGGAAACGACAGCAGGCTGTTTTAAAACTCATATGTTTGGGGGAAAAACCCCACATCGTGCAGACTGATGAGTGGTTGTTGCCACTGAGCCTCAGCCCAGCCTGGTGGTGTGCGATAATGGGCAAAACCTTATAGCAGCTCTGAGCCTAGCCAGTTTGACGCACATCCCTTGTTCTGAATTTGGTGGTGCAGAAATTCCTGAAAAACTACCCAGATATATCAGAGCTGCTGCAGAAAGTGCGGGCCGTCTGTGCGCGTTTTCGGCGTTCTCACTCTGTTGCTGCTCGCCTGTCTGCGCTGCAGCGTAACTTCGGCCTTCCCGCTCACCTCCTCATATGCAACGTGCCCAAACGGTGGAACTCCACCTTGCACATGGTGGAGAGACTGTGCGAGCAGCAGCAGGCGATAGTGGAGTTTCAGCTGCAGCATGCACGGGTCAGTCGCTCTGCATCAGACTTGCCCTCCAATAGATCCTCGTTAAAGGATTTAAAGTGTACTCATTCCAATGATGGGGCCTCGAAAGAGTCCTGTATTGTTATTTTTCGTCACTACCTCCCCGCGTTGGGAGTGGGTAATTTGCGCGCCTGCTGCCTTCCTTGGATGTGGTAACTGTTTCTCAGGCTCCCTCTCTGGAATCAAACCCTGATTCCCCGTTACCCATGATCACCATGGTAGGCGCAGAAAGTACCATCGAAAGTTGACATCCGAATGCGTCGTCGCCGTCACGGGGACGTGCGATCAGCCCGAGGTTATTTAGAGTCACCAAAGTGCCTGTGCAACGACTGCCGAGTTGCCCACATTCTAACTCTGATTACTGGGTGGCCACCCTGCTGGATCCCTGTTACAAGTACAATGTGCCGTCCTTAATTCCCTCACTGGAGCGTGATCGGAAGATGTGCGACTACAAGCGCACACTGGTAGACGCGCTGCTGAGGGCATTCCCAACTGACACTGGGGGCTCAGTGGAAGCACAAGGCGAAGGAAGAGGAGGAGGAAGAGGTCGCCAACGCAGCTGTGGCACCGCCAGCACCTCAGAAGACAGGGTTAGCATGGCCGAAATGTGGAAAAGCTTTGTCAGCACGCCACAACAACCAGCACCACCAGCTGATATGGAATGTCTTAGCAGGAGGCAGCATTTCAGCAACATGATGGAACAGTACGTGTGCACAAGCCTACACGCACTGACTGATGGGTCTTCCTCATTCAACTTCTGGGTCTCCAAATTGGGCACATGGCCTGAGGTTGCCCTTAATGCCTTGGAGGTGCTGGCCTGCCCTGCAGCCAGTGTATAGTCTGAACGTGTGTTTAGCATGGTAGGGGGCGTTATCACAGACAAGCGCAGCCGCCTGTCCACAGCCAACGTGAACAAGCTCACGTTTATTAAAATGAACCAGGCATGGATCCCACCAGACTTGTCTGTACCTTGTGCAGAATAGACATTTATACTACATTTATAGACATTTGGCCTCACCCAGCCATTGTTATACTCAAGTGCACTTATTCTTTGTTTTCTTTTTTTATATGTTCCAATATTTTGGGGGTTACCCCAATTGTTTGCAGGGCACTTGTCCTACTCTTATCCCCATTTTACTTCCTTTTGCAGCCCTATAGCCCTTTCCAGGACATTTTTAGAGCCATTTTAGTGCCCAAAAGTTCGGGTCCCCATTGACTTCAATGGGGTTCTGGGCCAAGTTCGGGGAACCCAAACATCCAGGTGTCCGCTCAACTCTAGTCTTCATGACTTATTAAATATTTTCTTGTTCCCCTTTACTATTGGGTTCTTGAATTCTTTTTTTTTTTAATTTAGATGTTTATGTTTTTCTACCCTTTGGGTAATATATATTCTCGATGCTTCCGCAGTTTCCAAATTTTAAAAATCTGTGGTAATCAGGATTCCCGCGTTCAGCATGGCTCTCCTGATTGGCTGAAACGCTGTTGCTGTGCAGGAGCACAGCGCGAGCATTTTTTCAGATCTGGCATTTGACTCTGGAAGGCTGCCGCATACCCACTAGCTTTGCTAGGTGGATATACTCATCATTGATTCCTGCAAATACAGATCATTGATTCCTGCAAACTCTGATATGCTGATGTTGCTTGAAACCCTTAAAGCAAAGTTATTTGTTCAAATCAGTTATGAATTACATCAGTGATTTTTTTATTTATTTATCATTTTTGAATAAACATTTACATTTAAAAAAAAAAATTATATCTTAAATAAAAATCAATATGTTAAAAACGTCAACATATTACAAAATGTGAATGTTTTCATAATATTAAATCATTTTAAACGTTCATACAAAAACATTAAATCATCAAAAGCTTATCCAACAATAGTAAATTGAAGCCTGTTAGTATTTTTGTTTTTCCTGTTATATAATAAAGAAGATATTTCAAGAACTGTGCTCTGCTTAAAACACTTATAGAAATGGTCTTCAGTTTGACATGACATAAAACTAGTCAGGAGATTGTGTTGTTAATATACTGGCATTTTGATGGTTTTAGGAAAACAGTTTTCCTTCTGTTTAATTAATACTCAGAGATGAAATATATATATATATATATATATATATATATATATATATATGTGTGTGTGTGTCTGTAAAGTTGAAGTAAATAGGAAAACCAAACACAACCATTTATATTTTCACCTATAACTATTTTAAGACAATGCAAATATATTACAGTGATAAACACTCTTGCAATGACTGCTCCTTTTTAGCCCTTATAGCAGCCTTTTGTCTAGGAGGTCTCTAGCAGTAGATCATGTTAAGCTAGAAAATTAGTAAATGCTGCTGTTTATACCCTAAAATATAGTTTCTAATTGCCATTTTCAGTTTAGGATAGTGGAAAACGTTTTAACTGTTTTGCCTAACATTTTAATGTATTTGCGTTTGCATATAATGTTATTGAATACTGTGCGGTTTATTATTTAGAATGTATTTTTGACCTTTTTCCTTAAACCAAAAATTAGCCAGGAAGTAAGAAAATAGCTTAGCTAAAAATATAGCTAAATTTAAAGTTTTCTTAAGTTTAGCAATTTTGTGCTACAATTTTAAATTACTCTTCAATTTCTGGCATTCCAATTTTGTGTGTAAACCTGATCAGTTATCTGATTACTTAGAATTATATTGTTCCATGTAGACAAATTAATTTATAAATGTGATTTCAATTTTTGTTAAATTGTTAACCATAGAGCTAATAAAGGGATATTGTTTTGGAAATGTTAATCTATATTTATAGAAAACACTGTTTTTTTTTATCTGAGCAACATTGATTTGCTATAGAGTTCTTATTTTATTTTTTTCTGAGAGATCTGTAAAGGATGCCAACAAACCGAAGCCTAAATAATATTAATTTGGCATAAGCGATCACCCTGCAATAACAATCTTCTGTCACCTCACACACTGTGAAGACCTAACTTATGTTGAGGTCTCATACGGAACCATCTACAGAAAATGAAACGTCTAACGATGTTCTTCTGACAGTAGCTTTTGGTCTTTGCTTAGGTAATCAGTGACCCAAAAAAGAAAAAGCTATTAGGGGAAGGGCAGAGTGAAAAATAACAAGAATTACTTATATTTCACTTTGCAACCCTGGTGACCTCCCCAGTCAGTTGAGGACACACGGTAATTTTTGTAAGTCCCATAGAGAATTTAAAAATTCTAGTATTTTTATATTACATCAAATATATTAGATGAAAATAAACACATGAGAGGTAGTCCACTATATGTATCTTAAGAGCTCAAGGAGTATTTAATGGATAGAAATCAATACAAAATATACCAATATCTAAAAAATTTCAAAGCCAAGACATAAAGCAGAAAAAAAGAATAATATCTTTCAAGAGCAACATCAAAGGTGGCAAACATATCTAATCAGATACCAAGAGTTTCTATCCATTGCTTTTATATACATTTACCAACATTACATTAAATATGCTAGTTTAGTTTTTTTTTTATGCCTTTTTTAAAATTTGTTTTAAACAAATCTATGAATTTTATTTTTTTTTTCTGAGAGGAATGTAGAGGATGCCAACACACAGAATCCTAAATAATACTAATTTGGTATAAGCGATCACCCTGCAGTAACATTCTTCTGTCACCTCACACACTAACTTAAGTGGAGGTCTCATACCGAACCATTTACGGAAAACATCTGCATCTACTGTAAATATACAGTATACTATAGTACTATAGATGAAAAGTTAATCTACTTGTTAAAATTATCATCTATATTAGATAACATTTTATTGAGGAATAATAAATACAAAAAAGAGCTCTTTTTTACATTTGTAACATTAGATCAGAATATCCTCATACTTAATAATGTTACTTAACTTAACAACATTAAAAATACAACCATTAAAGGGACACTATAGTTACCTGAACAACTTTTGCTTAATGAAGCAGTTTTGGTGTATAGAACATGCCCCTGCAGCCTCACTGCTCAAACCTCTGCCATTTAGGAGTTAAATCCCTTTGTTTATGAACCCTAGTCACACCTCCCTGCATGTGATTTGCACAGCCTTCCATAAACACCTCCTGTAAAGAGAGACCTATTTAGGCTTTCTTTATTGCAAGTTCTGTTTAATTAAGATTTTCTTATCCCCTGCTATGTTAATAGCTTGCTAGACCCTGCAAGAGCCTCCTGTATGTGATTAAAGTTAAATTTAGAGATTGAGATGCAATTATTTAAGGTAAATTACATCTGTTTGAAAGTGAAGCCAGTTTTTTTTTTTTCATGCAGGCTCTGTCAATCATAGCCAGGGGAGGTGTGGCTAGGGCTGCATAAACAGAAACAAAGTGATTAACTCCTAAATGACAGTGAATTGAGCAGTGAAATTGCAGGGGTATGAACTATACACTAAAACTGCTTTATTTAGCTAAAGTAATTTAGGTGACTATAGTGTTCCTTTAAACATGTAACTAAATGTATATGGTGCCACGAATGCCATCTAATTCTCTCATCTTATTAAAGGGACACTTTAGAAACTGTAACCACTTCATCTCAATTAAGGGTTTATAGTGCTGGAGTCTTCTGAAACTGTACATCCGTTCAGTGTTCAATTATATTTGAATGTGTTAAAGGGACTCTCCAGTGCCAGGATGACATATCCTTTTTCCTGGCACTGTGCGACCCTGCAATGCCCCTCTCACTCCCAGCCCCCATCTCATGTTGGTGAAGGGGTTAAAATCCCTTCAGTGACTTACCTAAATCCAGCACCGATGTCCCTCAGCGCTAGGTCAAGCTCCGCCTACGCTCCTCCCCCGATGTACGCTGGCGGGAGGACCTATTTCGCATGCGCGGTGCTGGGTCAGGCCCCACCCACGCTTCTCCCCCGATTGTGTCAGCTAAAAAGACAGCCACTAGAGGAGGACTTAATCCTGCAAGGATATAAAAACTTGCAGGGTTAAGGGTGGTGGGAGTTGGCCAGAAGTGGTCTGGGTGCCTGGAGTGTCCCTTTAATACTAAATGAGAGTCCCCAGCAGCCAGCAACCTGTCCAATATTGATCTATTTTATATATTTTGTATGCATTATTCTTTTCAGGCAGTTGTTGCCTTAAATAATTGTAAATGAATTCTGACTTTGCTTCTTAAAGCACCTGGACCTGCTGATTTTCTATTACCCCTAACGGTGGAAGGCGGAACAGTATAATCCACTTGTGGATTTCAAGGCATTTATTTGACTTCAATCCTGTGAGTGCAAGCTATGATTGTTGCATGCTAGCTCTGTATACTGTACATCACTATGTGCTGTTTGTCTTTTATATTCTAGCACCTAGCTGTATCCCTGGTTTTATCTGTATCCATCTGACACTACAGAGGCTCAAGAGGGAAAAGCCACTAGGGAAGCTATCAACATTTGTACTAAGCCCAGTACATTATATTTATCTAT